TTGTGAATCGAACATTTTATGGTACACTATGAAAGAAAAAGGAGGGAAATGGTTCAAAAATATAAAAAGGAAAGAATAAACTTTGATTTAATAGAAATCCTTAAACAAAACTCAAGAGATAAATCATATGTAATTGTTTTTTATTTTCTTACATTAAGAGGATTTGAACCTTAATTTGGTTTTGTTTATTTAGTTTTATTCAGTATAAGTAGGTAGTAGCCATTCAGATCCACACTCCATTCCAGTAGATGGCGGTAATGCACATCATCAGGCAGCTTGCCAACTGCTATAATAATAATAATAATTATAATAGGAAGAGGCCTGAGGAGAGAGTTATAATGTATTAAGGAATAGATTAATTTATTATATATTTTGAGGAAGAATTTGGGGAGTAAACATATACAAATAATTATTAGATTTTTAAAGAAAACTAAATCATTTCATAGAATGTGATTATAGAGGGGGTGAATGTGTGTATAATATAGATGGGTAGAATACAACGTATGTAGTCTTTTTTTTTCCTTTTTTACCATTAGAAATTATATATATGTTTATTAGTAGATAGTGCATCACGAACCACACTCCATACCAGTAAGCGACAGTAATGCTACTAAATGTTTGTTGCCAACCGCCAATAAAGAAGAAGAAGAAGAGGCCCCGCCCCCTCCCAGAGTGGCGGAAGTAGTCCAGACAGAGGAACAAGGAGGCTGATAGCAGCGACAGCTCCTGGACACCACCGCAGGTAAAACCACCGGTTCTGGTTCTGGACATGAAGCCGCAGAATATTCGGGTTTCCGGGCTTATTTGAACCGATAAACGGGTCAGTTTTCGGTGTTTGTGCTGTGCTGGTACCGCCTTCAGAGGAGCAGAGGAACCGCTGGCTCTTCTGTTCAGTCCGCCAAATATGGGCATCAGTCCGGACTTCCTGTGGGCCTGGGTTCTCCACAGGACCCGGAACCAGTCAGAGGTTCTGGGGAAATTGAATGCTACTGATCTGATCCATGATGGGAAACATCTGGAAGAAGCAATGTTCTGCCTAGATGGTGGTTCTGGTGCCATGGAGTAAAGATCACCACTAACCAGTCCTCCCAGTCTGTCTCCAGTACCACCTTGTTCCAGCCAGTGGACCAGTTGGACTCTCGAGATGTTCAGCTGGTTCCTCCTGCTGGGGACCAGTGAGGATGAAGTCCTTTCTCAGCCCAAATATTCAACCTCTGGTTCTGCAGAACTCCATGGTTTGGGTTCTTCTCAGAGTCTTAAGTGTCTTTGTCTGTTTTCAGAACTTGAGTTCCCTTACTGGGACCAGACTGCCTGCTTAGAATAATAGAAAAT